GTATAGTGCTCGATACACGTGATAATGCAGAGCGTAAATATTGAAAGTATTGAAAATGTAGAACTTGTAGAACTGGGTTTTATCACTCTACAGACTGTTTCATGCTAATGCAATCTTCAGGAGTGAGAGAATACAAGGGTTGTGCGAGTATATGAATGCTAAGACAGGTGAAAATAGTTTCTAAGCCCGGCGAACCTGCTTTTACTGACAGGAGAAGGGATGAAGGCGTATCACTGGCGCCTAAAAACCAGTTGCTTCGAGTAGTATAGATGGGACTCGTCAACCTGGCAGCTCATCTAGGAGAAGGAAAACTCTGATTTCAAACCTCCGCTGCCTTGCAGCTATATTACATCATGGAAAAGGCTTCAGGAGTCAACCTCGAGGCTAAATCAGGAGCTGGAGTCCCTTAGGCAGTTCTTGACTGTTTACAAGTAGTCACGTTCTGGCAACTCCTGCGACGTCGCTGGAACCAAGCGTATTGGCTGCTGCCTTTCCATTGGACCATTTCAGCGGGTGTCTACTGCATGGGTAACAGTCTACTCCCCATATCAAACTTAGCCTACCCAGGCTTCGCACAATGGAGAGGACACTCCAACTTCCCTACGATATTTCGGAAACACCATCCAGAGTGCGACTCCATTGTCTTTCGAGACTGAAGGATGCCGTAGACAGATATTTATAGTATACAGTTATTCAATCTTTTATTCAGACAGTGAACTGTTCTAGTATTTGAATCTAAGCTGTATACAAAAACATGAACTCATCAGTTAATAGCTCTTTTACTCATTTATATAACTTATCTTGAGTTGTATATATTCATACAAGTAATTGCATATAAAATATATTTAAGCCTTTAATACATATAGTTTGGAAGAAATTCAGAAGATGAATAAATTAAGGAAATGAAAAAGATAATTTGTATTCAATAAATGCTATTGCAAAAGAATCGTCATCCAAAGACAGGGAGAAAAAAACAAATGGTCTTGTAATGGACTGAGTTTGGAGGCATTGTGTAGACTACTTGAAAAAGAAGTGGATTGAAAAAAAAATGCGGCTAAACCACAGATTTGGACATATTGATCTCTTTCGTTCAAGAGTTTGGTCTTTTTGTTTCTTATTAATCTATGTTTATGATGTTATTAATTTATTTATTTATAACTATTTAGTATGAAAAACGTGATTTAAAATTTACATTTAAAGAATTCGAATATTTGCCCGTGTTCACAAGTGCTTGTTAAATGCGAATTACATGGAATTACATAATTAAAACGTTAAGCGTTCGTCCATTTTAATTTAATGACCGAAAAGGTCTTTCTTGTCAAAAAAGTTATACTTTGCTCTTTACTTTACAAAATATCAGTTTATATACGCTAGTGTGGCCCCCTTGACCTATAATATTTTAATATTTATAAATAATAATAAATGAATGATATAAGATTTGTATATGACTCATATTCAATTTTAAAGTAGGGCCTACAACAATCTAGATACTACCCTATTACATGATCATTGAAAGTAGGCTAAAAGTAATGACTGGCTTTTCAATTGGGCTGTCAACACTGATTTTGATAAAGCAGGAAAAAACGATACGGTACAAAGACCAATGAATTAATGAGACAAATGATTGCCCTTTTCTTTTTAAACAATAATTTTCGAACGAAAAAAAAATTTGCGAACGAAAATGATGCGGCCCATTTGACATATACAGTACTATTTTAATATTTATTACTATTTATTGCACTAATCTGGAAGAAGAAGAAGAAGAAGAAGAAGAAGAAGAAGAAGAAGAAGAAGAAGAAGTAGATAATAATTATATTAATAATAATAATAGGCCTAATAATAATAATAATAATAATAATAATAGCAGCAAAGAAACCTTTAGTATGAAAACATAAAGATACGGCTCGCATAGTTCGTGGATGGAGACCAAAATAACTGGGAAAGCTTAGTATATAAATAGACTTAAATAATTTGTTGCTGGTCATATTTAAAGGCTTAGCATTTAATTCGCCAAAATAACAGCAGCCACAAAGGGTCTATATGGCAGGATTGCCTATAAGTGAAGAATACCTGCCATCGGGGTTCTTAGCCTATCGACAAGAACCGCTTAATAGTAAATTATTACAGTACCGGTATATATAATATGAAATTGGTTATGAAATAGTGAAATCATTATTAAAAATCTAAAAATATAGTGAAATGAAATTCAACTGATAAAAATAGTAAATTAAAAATTAAACTAGGCCTACAGTAGAAGGACGCTATTTATTATACTTTATTATGAACGCGCATCGCGTTGGACACAGAATGGCTTCTAAAGTCTTAATGCCGCAACTCTTCTCTGGTGTTGTTGATACTGAGAGCGCCCTCTGTTGGATTCTATAATACGAAGATGGCGACCACCACTGACTCTGGAAAGCTTGATAAAGAAACCGTAGTAGAAGATGAAGAAGCTCTTGAGAAACAACATTTTTTACGTATAATACATGCGTACAGAAATTACAGGTAGTGGAACAGTTTTCTGTGGTTTCGGTGAGGTTTATCTATGCTAGGCCTAACGGTAGGATATAATACCGTATTACCGACACGATGGCAGCGCTTCCTTGACCTTGTCTTGGCCCCTCGCTACATCCAAAATCCCCATATCTTAGTTAGTCATAGCCTAGTTTTGTAAAAATTTACAGAAAAAAACAACAAACTAGGCCTACTAGGCCCTATATACTATATTCTCAAACTGCCTTAAAAATGTGAAATCTTACCATTTGGGGGAGGGGGTGCATACTGGATACGGGCATGTAGGGAGGGTCTAGTTACTACTAGTAGTTTTGATAAGACCATTTGCCTATTATACTAAAAATTTAGAGGAAATTACAAAACAAAATTTTCCAACGCTCAGGCCTGATCACTACTAGCCTAGGCCTAGGCTAGTACCAGGGAAGTGGAAAGATACACATCCATATCATTATCAGTCATGTTTGAACAGACCTAAGGCAGATAACCAAAAGCTAATAGCACCTTTTCCGATAAAAGAGTAATTTTGACCTAGCTTCTGCAGTATTACTTATGCTCCTATCAGTTTTTATCACAGACAGTATTGAAAATGTTTATATTTTTCAGAGCTTATGCATTGGATCGAGTACAGAGAAGTGAAAAGTCATTTAACAAACTGTCAGACCGTCACAAGAAGCTTTTGCCTGCCCAGTTAGGACACTTCAACAAGATTCGCATAGCTATTGACACCAATTATGAATTAATACTTCGTATTCTTAATAGCACAGATCATATGTTTGTTAACAAGGACATGGAGGTATGTATATTTTAATTGACATACTGTTGTTGCTTAAGATAAGAGTTTGTTAAAGAAATCAAGTAAACTTAGACACATCATAAGTGTTGATATACTGAACATTAG